GGTGATTTTAGTCAAAACTTAGTACTTGGAATTATGTGGGAAGCGACCGCCTTCTTAGTCTTTAAGGTTTATGGACGGTCAGTGTAAAACGCAGACTGCGGACTGCAAACCAGGGGTAAAATGCAGAATGAGGGAAAACTGTAGACTGCAGACTGTAGACCTTTCAACTGAATCGTATCACCATTTCTATAGACTATCATCATTCAAAGCTAACCGAGCTAACAGGCTAACCGGAGCGTTATTCAGGCTTACCGGAGTGCAGACTTTCACTACGATTAACCTGAATAATCGCAGTTTACGGTCAGCGCTCGATAATGGCAATATTACGATCTACACTTAAAAATTCTTTAGTTTGCAGTCTGCATTTTCCCCCTGGTATGAAGACGGCAGTCTGCATTTTACATCTGACACATCTGCACACTTTACTGGCAGGATGAACAGGATAGCTTCATTGGTATAGACAAATTGAGAGATGAACTCCTCATGGTGTTAAAGAACATTCACAAAGAAAAGGAAGAGCAGACGTTAAAAGTAGTTATTTGGTGTCACCTCGGCCATGCCTACATAAAGGAAGTAGGCGAAGGTGAGAGAAAGATGCAAAAGTTTCACTCAGCAGGTTTTATTCTTTGACGTTGAATTTCACTGAAGTGATGCAACTTAAACAAACCACAACGACGACGGCAACGAGATCGTCACTGTGCACGTGCGTTATAAATCTTTGTACGGCATTTCTTTGCCGTCCTCTGCAAAACAACGTCGTGAAATGACCAAGTTTTGGGTGGTTCGAGGAACGTGAACGACGACGGCTAATTTTAAAAGCCGAGTTATGAAACTCTTACATGACAAAACTAGTGGCCGGGTTACGTAAATGATGTACTATTTTTTCCCGCGGTTAATGAACAGAGTGACGTTGAGTATGGGAAATTAAAGTTGAGTTGACTTATGCAAAATGTATCGCCAAAACATGGAAATAAAAGACATTGTGAGAAAAAGCACATACCTCTAAGAATAAATGAAAGGTGTTGTTGTAGTGTAGTGTAGAGTAGTGTGTCTTCAGTCAAGTTTTCCTGCGCCATTCATTTGGTATATATACAAACGTGATACTGAGAGAAGTATCCGAAAATTATCTTTAACCAAACAAGCAGTGGATTTTTTGTTGGCTTGTAGCTATATTGAATGTTCATCTGGAGAGTATATATTTTCTTCTATTGATTCAGACGACGAAAAAGAGGACTATTTCACTCTTGCTGAAATCAAAGAAAAACTCGAGGAAGAAGGAAGCTGGAAGACCTCAATCTTCGAAGGTGGCTTAGACGATATAGAAATTGARCGAATTGAGAAGCATCTGGAATCCCATGCAGTTAAGGAAGACATAAGATACGACTTTGCCTTCCTTACTCCTTCTTGTAGAGATGTTCGTGTTAAGGTACAATTTTGGTAGTTTTTCTTCGAATTCCAAGAGTTATTAGTTGAATAAGTACGTCTCTTTCTGCCAAAACCCAAATATCCCCATTTGAAACCCTTTAAAATGGGACAGAGGTCCTGCACACACATGGTGCCCATATTGTCGTAACTCTCTTCACTAGATTATTGGGAGTGGATGATCCTTGGTTAAGAATTTCAGTCTTAAATGAAAAGACCAGTGGCAAAACTGTTGTCATGGCAACGGTACGACAGGTGTCATTTTGTTCTTTTGTGATGTAAATTTCTGGTGTCAAGTTTAAAGAACACTGCTCTACAGATATTATTGATTCAGTATCTCACTGTTTCAGTGGAACTATTTATGACGCCATCACATACGTAATACAAAACGTAAATAAACAATAGTGTTTAACGCGAGCATTGCGAGGTATTTATTAGTATTGTAATTACTATAAAGTGTTGTAGCTTGTGTTGTATTAAATAAAAACATAATAACAATAAAAAACAAGGATATGAC